GATAACCGAAAAGTATGAAAAAATCCATTATTAGTGTAGTATATTATTATATCCCATGTAATTAGTATATTAGTATATCGCTATTAACCTATTTTGCGTTGAATTTTCATCGATGTTAAGCCTAACAAAAATTTTTTAAAATAATAATCGTCGCTATTGTATCGTTAAAAATTAGAAAATTAAGCCTCGTTTAAATACTGGCTCCCTTTCATAGTCGAGCCATGTTGCCAGCTAAAACACGTAAAAATAATATTAAAGTAGCCAAGACACAGCCAAATATTGTAGCGCCACATCAATAGCGGACATTTGAAATTTGCCGACTAGGACGGTCGGTTAACCGAGGGTTCGGTTGATAGGGGGTCGGATAATCGAGGTTCTACTGTATTTTCATATTAATTCCTGCCAAACGCCCATTATGGGCTCCACGCGTCCACAACAAAACGGTCGAGTGGTGACCGACACGTCCTTTGCACCACACCTGAAAAATTTCTGGAGTTTTTCAACCCGTTCGCATTCTATTCCAAACTCTTACAGAGACATAAGATGTAACCTTAATTACTCGGCTAAATCGAAACGAAGCAAAGAACTCAACTCGGATCAATTAATATATATATGTGTGCGTGTGTGTGTGTGTATGTGCACAGTAAATAAATAAAAAACTATTAACATACAATCTGGAATTATGTCAAAAATACAGTATGTATTATCAACGCATTATTGTGCAACAACCGACTGGCATTGTTTCAACTTTAACAAAAGTCTTCGGCAAATTAACGAGTTGCGGTTCAAACTTTTTCGGCAGAAACAAAGTGAAAATGACTGAAATGAAAGAAACCGTGAGTCTAAGTTGTCAATTAGGATAAAGGGTTTTAAATTTTCTAACGTAATTGATAATGCATTCGACGACCATGGTACATTTACATTTGATAAATCACTTTCCCTTTTAGGAATTGCCAAAGCCGTCGGTTCCCGAGCTTTCTGTCACTCTAAAGAGATTCTTGGAAGGAATCAAAGCAATTGTCTCCAATGACAAATACGAGGAAGCTCGAAGATTGATCGAAGAACATCAAAAGTCGGGAGAAATGCAAAAGCTGCAGGGGTTCTTGAAGAAATATGCAGAAAACAATGAAAATTATGTGAGTGTTTCTTCTTCCTCGACAAGCGCTTTCACTAGAAATAATAATAAACGCCTTTGTAGGTGACCGGATTCTGGCTGAACGATATGTATTTGAAAAATCCTTTGCCTCTCCCCATCAACTCCAATCCGTTTTTCCTGCTGCCCAAGCGGGAATTCAAAACGGATGACGACAGATTTCGGTAATGGTTTCTCGTGAAATAGTCATTTTGAAGTAATTTGCCTTATTGACGACTGTGTATTATTTCTCAGATTCATAGCGAAATTTATCATCTTCTCGCTTACGTTCAAGCAAAGAATTGACAGGTAAACAGAAATTACAAACAAACGAATTATTTACACGAAAGAACTGGCTAAAAAGACTCATTTGTTGCAGTGGTCAATTAATGCAGGAATTTGCCGGAGGACAAGGGAGAGGAAATGCACTTTCCATGGCCACGTATCATCACTTCTTCGCAGCTTACAGAAGACCGGGCAAGAGTAAAGACGAGCAGATTTTAAGTGTAGGCGGCAGACATATCATTGTGATCTGCAACAATCAGGTAAGAAAACAATTTCATTTATTGTCCTTATAACTTTTCGATATTTCGAGCTTGCCATTTCCTTTCGACATACATTACATTAAATCTTTTTTCCATATGGTTCCATACTTCTGCATATACTGCTATTCTCTATTACTTTAAATTGGAGTATATAATTTATTAAATAAATAAAATTCTTTGTTAGACAAATCTTTTCTTTTTTAATGCCAATTATTTAATTAAAGTAAATTTATACAATTCACTTAGTATTTCAATATTCACGTAGGAATATTAAAAATATTATCCACCTATCACAATACACTTTTCTCGACAGTTATTGTAACCTTCGTAACTTCCTGCTATCTGCGAAGATAGTACGAAAATCTTTTAAAGTATACGTCTTCTACTGTCGAACAATTTTAAATGCGAGGTATATACAGGGTGATTGAAAAGGTCTTAGACACCCTTTAAAGGTAAGTCAAAAATACAAACAAAAAGCCATTTTCTCCTGGGAACATACCTAGTATAGCCGCAAACACCATCCGAGCGTTCTAATAAACACGATGTATTTCTTTCTGCGTAGTTCTATTACCACAGAACCATTCCAGTGTTAAGAAAGTACTTTCTCTATTTAATTTTCATTTCGTACTTACGCGTGTAAGTAATTCTAATTACACGCGTTCATTAGATATTAGTTTCATACATGCTGATGTTTTAAAAATTACATTTTTAAGTATTTAACAGCTATTTGTGTTGATGATACCTGGTAGAATTGCTCTTCCGAGTGAAAAAGCCCTGGTAGAAAAACTCCAGAAAATCGATACTCTCAGTAAGCTGGAGCCACACTACCCACCAGTGGGGATTCTCACGGCTCTCGATCGAAGAGAATGGGCAAGAATAAGAGAACAAATGATCGAAAGTGAGATCAAAGCGAAAACTTTCTTAGATAATAAAAATCCTTGATCTTTAACTGGAATTTACGATTACGCAGATGAAAATAATAAAGAATCCATTCAGGATATTGAAAATTGCCTGTTTGTAGTGTGCATGGACGAATCGAACGAAGGGGTGTGGAAACAAACGAGATCGAAATGCTTTTCGGTCCAGAAATTGGAAGAGATGGCCCATCACATCCTTCACGGCAATAAAAGTGAACATTCCACCGGTAACAGATGGTTCGATAAATTTATTCAGGTAAAATTTATTCATTGCTAACCAGTAACATAAAAAGACGGCAATTTTCAATCGTACGCTTCATTTTAAAATACTCTCGGAGGATTACTTTCGTGTGTAACATAATTTGATACGAATAAATATATTTACCACTAAATTCATTAAAAAATAAATCGTAATACGTAAAGGACACAGAAGCAATCTCACCATGCGATTTATATTTTGAACGTTTTTTCTTTCGTACAGTTGAGTTTCTTTATATTCTAAACGAAGCGTATCGAGCAGTTTGTTTACGAACACAAAAGAATGAATACTTTCTTTTGTATTAATTAATTTCACCCGCATTGTCATTTTGCTTTTGAATAAATCTGAATTTCAATTTGATTAAAAGAAAAATTTCTATATTTACCTATAAAATCGTACATAAATTGATGCCAGAGTATTAACTCTTGTTGTTTTGTAGTTTATCGTGACCAAAAATGGTGTGAACGGAATTGTGATCGAACATTCGGTGTCGGAAGGGATTACCGTTTTAAGATTCTGTGAAGAATTCCTGGACTTTTTGTAAGATATTTTTATCTGGAATTAAATATTAGAAATGAAAATGAAGTGTTTAATCTATTTGCAGAGAAAAGGATCAGCCGAAGAGATCGTCCGACGATCTATTGACAGTCAGAAGACTAATTTGGGACCTGAATGAACCTCTCGTAAAAGAGATCAAAAATGCATCGGTCGTCACAAACGTGTAAGATACTCAAATTTTCAAAAATTCAAGAAAATATGTCAGTTTACGCTTTGCCTATCTTTAGTATCATAATTCCTTAAAAGTTACGATATGCAAAACGACACGTAAAATCACTATAAGGCGTTTAGGCCTATGTTTGAAAAGAATTTACTTTTATTTACAGACAATTCCCATCGTTAGATATTGATCCACCATTTAGTAGATTCTTTTGATTCTATCAATCGAGAAATGTTGCGAAAAGTAACATTATTTATCGAAAGAAATTCGATAATAATCATAAACAAACGTTGTCGCAATCTCGGCTCAATATTCTGTTCTTTTTAAGATGTCCATCAACAAATAGAACATCTCACAATATTTATAAACGGTGTCCCAAAAGTTTCCATATATACAAAGGTGAAATGTAACTTATTCACAAAACATTAAAATGTCAGCAATAACACCATTGAATTCTGGTAGTTACCAGAATTCAATGGTGTTATTTATTCGGCCACTGATGGGCTTTGTGTCACTGTATGGAGACTTTTGGAACACCCTGTGTTTAATTTATTTGTCATTTTAACACAGTTCATTAAAAGCCTAAAATAATTTCCTGTTATTTGTAATCGTAACCAATTGTATAGCTAGTTTTTCACGTACCCTGTGTAAGATTTTAGTCTTGATTACCCATTTTTGGAAGAAAAAATACGTACGATAGAAAGGGTCGGCTATTTTTAAACGTTAACCAAGAACGTTACGAAATTGAACCCCATACAGCAAAATGTAATATTTGAAAATAAACGTTTTTGTAATTTTTGGTTCACATTTCAGACACCTCTTGTTATGACGTTGCACCCAGTTATGGCACTTATTATAGCTTTACAGCTGCGTTTCATTTGATCTTTAAAGACAATTATGGTCTGTAGGACGACCATTTATTCACTGTAAACATTATTTTCAGATTAATCGACACGCTGGAACTCAATGTTTTTATATTTGACAATTACGGCAAAGGTTTTCCGAAGAAACTAAAAATCAGTCCCGATGTGTTCATTCAGTTGTGCTTGCAGTTGACATACTTCAGGTTTGTTTAAACGACGATTCTCTTTCTTTTAAAGCTTATTTGAGCGTAACTAAATCACCAATGCCGTTATTTTCTCATCAGAACGCATGGCCAAATGACGGCCACTTACGAAAGTGGGGCTTTAAGGAAATTCAGATTCGGTCGCATCGACAACATCCGCGCTTCCAGCCAAGAGGCTTTGGATTTCTCAAAGTCCATGTTAGATTCCTCCCCGAGTCAGGTCAGTCGAATGGAAACTTCTCAATCATCATAAAACCTTGATTCAAATAGACTCGTTCGATATATTTAGGCAGAAAAATGGGATAAATTTCAAAATGCCGTGAAAAAGCAAAACGAAATCCTTCTCTACGTAAGTAGCAAAGAGTTATAAATGAATCAAAAACTACTTAACAATTTCACAATTGTGATAATATGTATTTTCGTGTAGACAATCAACGGAGAAGGACCGGATAACCATCTTTTGTGTTTAAAAGAAATGGCTGCACTGCACGGTTTAGAAGAACCGGCACTTTATCAGACAGATTTTTACAAAGAGTTCGTGAATTTCCGTTTATCCACCAGTCAGGTCAGGCATCTTTTTATGTATCGATTAACCGTTAGCGAGTGGAAGAGAATTAATTGATTGGCTTTCGTAGCTTCCGACGACGTACGACATCAAAGTTGGATACGGTCCCGTGGTGCCCGACGGATACGGTTGTTCGTACAATCCGGAAGAGAGTCGTATCGTCTTTTGCATTTCTTCGTTCAAAAACGACCCCTCCACGGACTCGGAGAAGTTTGCACAGAATCTGCGATTGAGTTTGATGGAGTTGAAGGAGCTTTGCGAGAGTGCTCGAACTGCAGTTTCCACCAGGTTGTTCTTTGTCGTTAAACAATTCGTTCGTTTTAGAAAATCGAATTACTCACATCTTATTGTTTTAGCTTACCGACAAAGGCTGCAGTTAAAACTGAAGCAAAATAAATTGAATGAAGAATCTTTTAGGCCATTCGGATATTTTCGGCTTCAAAATTTTTGAATTGAGAAAAAGTTATTTAATTAATAATGATTAAAAATTCATTTAATACATTTCACGAAAACATTCGTTGTTCGTTTTATTTATCTGACCGTAATTTACGGATAATGCAGTTTTTCATTTAGATTATAAATATGGTAGATTTACTATTTGCGTAAATGTGAAAAATTTAACCACCGTTTACTTTTGATTCAATATGAAAACGTTCGACATAACAAAAATTAATATTTATTCTTTATATTATCGTTTTTCACTGACACTAAAGCACCGTGCGTAGCTACTATAATTGGTCTCAACTTACCACAACGGAGTATACGAAAATCTTCTCATTAATGGCATTATTATTAATATAGGGCGTTCCAAAAGTCTCCATACAGTGTCACAAATCAAGCCCACCAGTGGCCGGATAAATAAAACCATTGAATTCTGGTTGTTGGTCATTGGTTTGTAAACTGTTGGCTGGCCACCGTGCCGTGTTCTGGGTTTTCTTCGTGTGTCTAACACCTAAACAGAATCCAGTTTCCACATAGGAAATCCTGCTAGAAGTTATCCCGTTGACAGATTAGCCACGTGTTCTGTTGCCTTACTGGCTTACTCCGTCAATCCACTGGCACAAATCTTAATGCTGATATTTAATGTTTTGTGAATAAACTTACTTTTCGCCTTTGTATGTATGGACACCCGGTATATCACTTGTCAGATTTTCTTGCAGATTTAGTTTTAACGACTTTCTCAACCACGTGTGCGTGGTGTTCTGTTGTTTCATCGATAAACAAATTTTAGAAACTACAAAAACTATGGTCAATATACAGTCAAACCTCGAGTATCAAACGCCTGGCTTTTCGAACAATTCGATGTACGAACAAAATTTTTAACTCATATTTGCCCCAGTTTACTCGTTATTAGCGTTTACAATTTAAAAAATTCACCCAGTTTCATAAAACATGGCGTGTGATTGTTATACAGTACGTAAAAAATGTTCTGTAATTTTACAGAACATTTTTTACGAATAACATTGGGCGGTATCTATAATGGATACCAATTAGGCACGATGATAAGTGTGCAACTTGATTTTCGATTTTTATGCAATTTTTACGTGTTACACATTTTCATAAATCTGTATATGTTTAAAATTTTTTAAATACCTTTTCTTCATTCTTTTCTTCCCAAAAACAAGAACTCAGTTTTTATACATTATTATTATTATTAATTATTATAAAATGTCAAAAAGCGAAATTTTGAGGGTATGGATGGGTTTTACAAAAATTTGTAAATTCCAGTAACGAATAAAATCGTCATTAAATCAGAACCTCCTTTATCTCTCCACCCTGTCGCCCTTTAACAATCAAAATTGAAAAGCATCAATACCCTAATACACAAACCTATCTGAAAAATTTCAGAATTTTTTGACAAAAAAACAGGAAGAAAAACTGAATATTTTTGCATTGTGGGGATGAAATAAGGAGAAGAAATTTCCGATAAAGAATATAACTTATAAATTTATGTGCCTTGCTTTTAATAAGCTTAACATCCAATTTAGAAATGTTCAAAAAACGTTGTATTTTTCACGAAACCAACATCGATACAAACTGAAAGAAACTTTTCTCTTTTTGGAATTTTTGTGTCAAAACAAAATACCCGTTTGTCAGATAAATCAAACGTTTGTCTGTGTGTATTAAAAAGTTATTTTAATACAAACATATTTTTTAGTAAATGTTGAAACAAATACAATTTAAAATTTTATTAAAATTTACTGTTTATTTACGATAGTTAAATTATGCTTCTTCTAAGAATACAAAGTTTTGCTGGCCTTATCAAATAAGATGGCGTGAAGAAAGTAAATGATCATAGAACGAGTAGTTTAAGGATATTCTTACATCCACGTATAAAAACCGATACGAGCAGGATTGAAAATTGAAGAATGGAACTTCTGTTGGATTAGAGTGTGGATCGAGTCTCGTCCAATAAAGTATTGGACGAGAGTCCAATACTTTACCTTCGTACACAATATCGATAATAGCTTCACCTTCACGAATAGGCGCATTATATTATATAAATTAGTACACGTATTAAACTTTATTTTCTTCATTTTCCAGACTGGTTCCAATGATTGTTATTTCGTAAAGTTTACGAAAAATTTCTATAATTTCTGTCTGGAAATAATATAAAAATACTAAATTAATTTTAAAGTATTGCAAACTTTTCGAAGATACAAAATATTAAAAATTTACATTATCTTCGCAACAAGACTCCACCGAATGACTATTATTTTGTAGTTTTTCAAGGAAATAAGCGAACGACTTTCCGTCGAAATATTTCCATGGCATAGCGTCTCTAAGTGGAATGGGACAGCCACAGACACTCAGTAAATATAATAAATTGCTTATTCCTTTCTGAAATAGGCTAATCAAATACACAATCCTGGTATCTTCTGGTGCCTAGAATTAAGATAAAATATCGTTTTATACGTTTACAATAAAAAATATTACAGTTTTAAATTTTGTTTCTCCACACCTTTATGTTGGAGAATTTGCTGGTATCTTCGAAGGAAACAGAAATGGCTTGAATGATGAAGGCTTTAACTTCTTCTGGTTTTAGTTCAATGTCTTTTAACTTCAAAAGATAATTAAGCAGACTGCAAAGAACTATGAAAGCATTTTCAATTTGACACAATTTAGGCAAAGGAATGGTTAAGTTTAAGCATTTTGAAAATAAAACCCAACGTTTCTGGACAAGACATTGTTTTCTCCCAAACCAGAGATTTTCCAGCGTTGGACAATCTATAACGGGAACTAAACATAAAATTAAGCCGATTAAAGTAATAATAATAATAATAATACGCTTACCGTTTGACTCAATTAACACATTATTTACAATTTCTTCGTCTTCATTTTCACCGCAAATGCATCTTTCGGTGATACATACGGGCCTGTTTCGAAACAATAGAGAATACATTTTCTGTCTGATCGGTCTAAATGCTAAAATCGACGGAGTCCATTTTTGCGAAGAATCTGAAATGGTTATCCTTTCTGCATATTCTTTAAAAGTCAACAATTTATAGATAATACCGGGAGCCTCGCATTTTCTAATTTTAGAGATGATATTTTTATTCTTTTTATTATTAAAAATATCCCGAAGTCTATACATATCTAAATAAGTATTCAACATCCTCTCATTTATATATGTAACTCTAGATATATATGGAATTTCTTCCTTTTTTCCATACCACTGATATTCTTTCATTGTGCCAACGATGTTTTCTATTATATTCAACTGTTCTTTATAGGTCTCACCTTTGCGAAAGACATTCATCGAAATACACGCAAATAACGGCAACTGTTTAGGTTTCAACGTCAGTAAATCAATTAATAGAGAACGATAGTATATTTTACCCTCGTCTTTAAGAAGATCGAAATATTTAGAATAGAAAACAGGTTTAGTATTAAAGAATAAACAATCTAATTTATCGCAAAGTATTCCTAAACACTCGGGAATACAATTAGCATATTTTGCGACTTCGTAAAGGGAATTATCTACAGTATTATAGACTCGACATTTGCACTCATATTTTAGGATATATCTGATGTACGAAGATATTCCGGGTGGAATGGTGCACCTTTGATCATCTGTATGAAGATCTATCAATGGATCATCAACTATTACTTGTTTTCTTTCGGGGAGATGAACTCGCTTCCAATTTGTCCCTTTCTTTAAATCATTTTTACTAATTCCATTAAAGTAAAACACGGGTTCGATGTTTAATTCGTGAAAATCTTTGACCCATTTTTTTAGAATAGCGATATATTCTTTCCAATTTCCTCCGTACAATCCAGAAGCCGATGAAAAATATATTTGTTTATGTATTTTTAAACTGTAAATTACTAAAATAGGGCGTCTATTAAACAAACGTGAAAAAATTCGAAAGAAATTTTTTAATGATACTTTCCGACTGACTCGATTAGCATTTCTCTCGATGTATTCACTAAGATCTATTTCTTTCATGTTAGTTTCTATAAAAATTATACAAAGTTCATAAAAGCATTATTTTAAATACGGTAAATATTATAATATACATATAGTAATTGCATCCTGATGCGATGCCGGACACTTTCTTACAAATAATGCTAAAATAACAAAAGTGTACCTACCAAAAAGCGATATATCATATTAAAAACAGCTTACATAAACAGATACGTATCAGGAAATGAAAGAAATTATTAAAAACATTAATTTTGAATTTGATTTTTGGAAACAATTGTGTTTATTATTTAGTATATATTTTTCGGTTTGCAAAACATTTATTTATATTTATATCAAAGATAATGTTTCATTCAAGTTTCAGCTTTGCTTCTAACTCAATATAATACAATTAAAAAAATTAAATTTTTCCTTTGGTTTGGTGGGATTAATTCTCAAGGAAATAATCCGCGAGCATTAGCCAGGTGATCTACTGACTGATTTAGTCATTTTTCTAAATTTCAGTTATCCACATAAAAGATTATTTTTAAGCACAATTTATCTACCGTGTTAGATTATCAAATATTTAAGGTATTTTCCCATGTATCTAAGGTCCCGTAAGGTGATTTCTACAGGATAAGAATGAAGGCAAGATAGTTCACAGTTCACTGTTGTTTGTAACTACAAAGTTTATTATTGATATTTTAGCGCAAAAGGTCGCCATCGGTAGCGCAAAACTTATAGGCATGGAGTCTATTACAATTATAATTAGACGACGAGCGCAATCTTACCTCATCAAAGACTCGTCTTCCTTCCTTCCCCGAATCTTAGTTCCTGAGAATGGTCATGGCGATCGAGGCAGAGTCTCATAGTATTTAACGGTAATTATATTAAAAATATTATGTAAATTCTCACCTAATCGCTCGTGGACGAGCTGGAATTTTCAACGCTAGACGTTTTCACAAATGCCGAAAAGATAAATAATATACTGTATATATTACCCAGTATTTTAAATTATATACGCTATGTATACTTAGTTTAGAATATAACTTTTTAATTTTATTACCTTCACAAATTTCTCAAATATGAGAAAAAATTTAGTCCTATCAATATATAACATTTTCCTTAAAAGTTAAGAAAATAAAGAAAATATAGATATCCTCATTATAATAATTTGTATCCGAATAAGTCACGCACACGTGCAATTCAAGACTGCTTCTAGTTTTTTTTATATAGGCCATTATTATTGCATAACAGCGACCCCATACTTGGCATGTAAATTTGTTAAGAAATAATAATAACGATCACTTCTCTTTCTATTGTATAAAAAATTTGAAAAATATTAAACACAGATACTTGCATTTCAATCCTTGTATAATTTAAAAGAGAATTACTTACGCTGTTTATTATGTTTAAATTAGCGAATTAAGAGTGCACTCGTCGCATCAGAGACCGTGGACGTTGTCACTTTAATGCCTTTGTTCATGGAAAACGAAGTCGTGGACTCCTACTTTTACTTTCCTGGCTCTGTTAAAGATATCGGTCAAACAATGACTCCCCAGAAATTTTACATTTTTGGATTTAGGGGACCCTGAAACATCGAAAAATGCAAAAACGTTCAGAGTTTTATTCTCTATGTATGGATGTTAATATGTATGGTACGATTTTGTTTATCCTCTTTGAAGCTTAATACTCCCGTGCTTTCGAAAATTTCTGAAATTTTGCAGGGAGGTTGGTCTATTTGGGGGGTTGATTCTATTAAATTTTGGTTGTGAAAGGTCAAGAGGATGGAGAGTGGTCACGCGTCATATCTCGCGAGGGGTCAGACTTAATGAAGATTTTACTTATTAGTATTTACAATATTTTGTAAAATATCTTTACCCTCAAAATTAAGTCTTTTGCTATTTTTAATAATTAAAAATATATAGTTTTTATAGCAAAATCTCATAACAGATGGTGCCACATACAATTTTAGTTATTTATTTTGATTAAAAATACAAATGTTATTTTTAAAATAAAATCTCACAAANTCGGGTCACAGATATTTTTTTTTGGTTTTTTTAATTTAATACGCAACATATCAAAAAAAGACAAATACGAATTCCGTTTTTTAAAATTTCAACGTTTGTCAACGCTTTTTTAAAGTGAAAACATCGGCAATTTATACAGCAACGGCAAAAAACCTATGTACAAAGTTTGGCTTCGGTTAATAACTAATAAAGGCTGCACCGAAGTCTTCATTTTTTTTTACCTAATGCTTCGTCGAGGAAGAGGGAAAACGAAGAAGATAAAAAGCATTCGGATGTTTTTTTTTAAACTAGTATCAAAAACCAGATTTATTAAAAATCGATTAATCGATTGTGCATTTACATAAACTGACCGAAAGTCGATGTTCCTCGACTATAATTTTATAAATACCATCGGCCCGAAAATATTATATATATATATATTTATATATATTTGAAGTAAATATTGCCTTATCGAGAATTACCTTTAATCGTATCACAAGTAAGGAGCCTAAGTTACTTTTCCGTTAGAGATAATTGTAAAATTCTTTCCAATATGTCTTCTTCTTCTCGTCTTTTTCTCTCGTCCTCTTCTTTTTGTTGTTCCGATAATTTTAATGCCAGCTCCAATTGAGATTCGTCATTGTTCGCTTCTCCTCTAACTTCGTTTTCTGGTGGTAAATTATCGGAAGAGCTTAAGTAAGAAGCCATACTTTCTTGAATTGCTCTGAAAATATAATTATCTTTTTTAATAAAATAAAAATAATACCAAAGTCCTTGATGTAGGAATTATCGACTAAATACAGTTTACATGATTAAATTTCTACATTATTATAAGGTATGCCAAACGTAAAAAATTCAAAATAACAATAATAATATGAATGCAGTGACTGGCAATAAGCATGCAGCATAATTAATAAAATGAGCGCGAAATTTTATTATGAAATATTTTCTTATCGAAAAGATCTATAAGAACTTTAAATGCAAGTTGCATTTACTTCAAAATTCGTTTCATGGCCACCTCTTTAAATTATAATTTATTTTATCACATAACTAAGAACAGATATATAGGCTACTATTTGTTCTTGATTACTACTGTACAGCGTTACGACGCGATGGAAAAAATTGATTAGGATCAAACTTTGCAAATCCAATTCAAGTTTGAATGACTAGACAACAGGATTTTTCATTATTTAAATAAAGTAAGTTAACTGTTTCTTTACAGCGGTTCTTAAAGATTAAGGATTAAAAGAAAAGGCGAGACAACCCCTAATTTGGCTTACTTTGGTTACGGCAATGCGACGATCTGCCGAGGAGAATGAAAGGCAGGCCTTTCTATCGGAAATTGGCCTTTATTTACGTGTTAGATACGTAAAGAAAACTCCACGTGAACAGCCCATTAGGTGAGGCGCGAACCGTGACCAACTATCAATGTTCAGTGATTTTATCCACTGAAACACTAGTGGGCACGAGACAATTCTTAATGTATAGGATGTCTCAGGAGATGCAAAAAATGACACAAAGGAGATGTAAGGTACCAATCATGAAATTTTTTGCAATTCTTTTTCATTGGATAAAATTTTATTTTACAAAAAATTGACAGATATAAATATTAAGTTCATTTTCAAAATAAGTGTGAAAGCAGAAAGACTAAGAAATCCTGATTTATAATAAAATTTTAATATAAATTTGGTTTTATGTTTTATTGTGAATAAAAGTAATGAAGCTTAATGTTTCAAATAATGATATAAATTTTTTGAAAAAATATGGATCCTATCAATATATACTCAAAGCTATGAAAAAAGTTATACAGTCAAAAATGTCAATACAAGAAACTGCAGTAACATTAATTAACCCAAAACTTAATCTATGCAAAATGTAATTCCATATATGATAAATAATCTGAACAGATAATATAGAAAATAAACTTTCATTTAGTTTATTTTAAAAACTTTCATGTTAAGTAAGTTTCAAAATGTTTCTTCTGAGTCATCTATGGCACTTGAATGTATTCTTAAATAATTAAAGTCCTTGGGGACATATAGTGTTAACCCTCAGTTCATGGCATTCTGGAGGTATTCAATTATGAATAATGCACCCTAGCATCAGCACACATCCATATCTGCTGGAGAAAAAGTATACCAGGACATTGCTGATTGCAAAAAATAAAGTGAATGATATGTTTCTGAAGCATAATGAGATCAAGAAGGCAGATGACACTGTTGTTGATGTGGAAAACATTACACCAAGAAAAATAATGTAAACAAAAATATTAAGGAAAAATAACTATTTTCTAAGCAATATTTTTAGGTTTTCAATAAGCAAAGCTGTGAAAATTGCAAAAATTCTTGCATAAAATATTCCTTGTGGGATTTTAATTATTATATAATCATAATCTTTTATGTTTTGATTATGAGATGACAGCCACATCTACAGGCAAAGTTTGGAGATCAAAAATATTAACACACACAAATTCATACAATTTTAGGATTTTTTTCAAACTCAATTACCCCAGAAATTTGACTCTGAGGGTTAGCACTATATGTCCCCAAGGACTTCAATTTAAAAATCAGCAATTGTCTTATATGTAAATACTTGTACAAATACATACCTTCCAAATAAAAGTAAAACATGAAAAGTTCATTTTGATAGGATATTAAACTTAATAATTTAGTAAAAATCAAGAGAATAATACCAAAAGAAAGACTTATCAGATAAAAAAGAAGTCCACAAAACAATATTTTTTGTAAGTCTTTAAAATTTCCTTTTCAATATCTAAAAATTAGTGAAGAATTCCTGAGAAAAATGGTTAATTAACATTTCTCTCAGGAATAATTACAGTTTCCTACACTATAAAAAATTAATTTGTTTTCTGACAATAAACAACATATAAATGATAGGTGATATCAGTTAATACAGCTAAATCATATTATAACACATATTTATATGTAACTTATATATATAACTACAATTTGCAAATTAAAAAATATTAAAATTATATTGACAAAAAAATTTGTAAGAGATTTCTGGCAATAGGATTTTGGGAAATAATTTGTTTACGTGCATGTCTGAGTTAATATGTACTGTACCTTAAAATTAACGCATATATACTACTTATACATATAAATTTCAAAGACAAATTAAAGTTTACATGCTTATTACAAATCACTCTATATAATATATTCTTTCACAAAAAAGTAATCAATAAAATAAAATAAAAATTAAATTAAAACTGTCTTTAAATAATATTGATGAAGTGCTTTTGATGCTGATTTTCAAAATTGATTTATTTTAAATTAAAATCAGATATTTTGGTCTTTTTGAAATAAATTTTATCTTCTAATCAATTTTAAATTTTAGGATTTATTCACATTATGGAAATATTATTTCAACTTGTACCAAGATGATCATAACAATGAACAACTACATGTTATCTGTAACCTGCAACTGAATTACAAATTGAATAAAGATTTCCTCTCTGCTCATCTTTAAGATGAATTTGTGATGGTTCATTATTACAATCATGTTAGTACAAGTTGTATGTATATATTTGCCAGTATCTAAACAATAAAAATAAAAATATTCTTTCATATATCAAAAATATTAAAACAGAATGTATAGTTCATAAAGTATTTAATTATACAGGACATTCCATGATATAGAGTCATATCTTTAGGAATATATTCCTAAAGTTATGACTCTACTTCATGGAATGTCATCATATCATATCATAGTTATGATATGATGACATTCCATGAAGTTAACATGAAGCATGACATTGAGCATGAAGCTAACATGAAGTTATTAACTTCATGGAATGTCATCATATCATATCATAGTTATGATATGATGACATTCCATGAAGTTAACATGAAGCATGACATTGAGCATGAAGCTAACATGAAGTTATGATATGTCTCTATATCATAACTTTAGGAATATATTCCTAAAGTTATGAGTTGAAAATAAGCTAAAAGAATCATGTAAACATATGTCAAATTTGCAACCATTATGTAGCCATACAATCACAAAATGCAAAACTGTAGACATAATGGAAGATAATCTTTTACTGATAAAAATAAAACAGAAGCACTGAGTTGAAAGTGCAAGAAACTACAACAAATGCTTAGAACAACATATTGTATGGAATAAAAATCGCTTTTCATTCAAGTTAGCTATTGATGACTCACTACTGCATAGCTATGCAATGATTGTGAAAATATATCAAATATATGTTCCCATGATCTTTTTAACTTAACTTCAGGTAAGGAATCTAATCTCTAAGCTATGATAATCATTGTAGAACATCCTATATTTCTGATAAAAGTGATAACACTCAATTTTTCATCAGATAATTCAGGATGTTCTGAAATCAGATAATTCAAAAATGTTCATATTTTCAGTACTTTGATTTTATACTTAATTTGTTTTGTTTAATTTTGCTTGTGGTTTTCAATTGGCCAGTGCACATAATTTATTTTTTGAAGCTATTGGGTTGTTCGGAAAGTAAGTTCGTTTTTTCTGTGGAAAAAATACAATTTTTTTAATAATAAATAAATATTTTATTGAATTATATATCGACCATTTTGGTCAAATACCTGTTGTCATCATTTCTGGTAGTAGCATGATTTCACATTCATAAAAGTTTTGATCGTTGCTTACAAAAAACTGATCCAAGTGATTTTTGACATTGTCATTTCAAGTAAATTAAAAATTTCAGTTAAAAAAAATTGTATAGACCAGAACAAGCAATAATCTGAGTGTGCTCCATCTGGCAAATATGGTTGGTGAGATAGCACATCCCATCTAAGTTATAACAGTTTCTGACAAATTACCAAACTTCTGTGAAATTTGACATTATCGTGGTAAAACACTACACCTGTTCTGTCGATCAATTCTGGCCGCCTTTTCCATTTGATGATATTACTCGATTTGTTTACTCGATGGCAGTACACTTTCGAATCAATTGTTAAATTGTCTGGTAAAAAGCTCAAAAAAAAATTTCCTTAAAATCCCACCAAAGAGAGCATCTCTCTTTAAAAACGTGTAAAACCCCTATATCGAGCTTTGAAACAAAACCAATTTGTTTCAAGTAATCATAAAAGGTTCATTTTGACAAATTTAATCTCTTAGGGATTTCACGTGTTGTTATTCGGCAGTTTGCTTCAATCGGTACCTTTATTTGGTTTTCATTGGCTTCAACTGGTCATCCAGAACGTGGTGCATCTTCAATATTGAAATTGCCAGAACGAAATTTTGTAAACCAGTTTTGGCACTGTCTTTCTCTCAACAATCATCTCCATACATGTACCATAATTTTTTTCTCACTTGAACAGCATTCTTACCTTTTCGGTAATAAAAGAGCAAAATATGCCGAAAATGCTGCTTCCGATCTTCCATATTTGATGGGACACAAAAAATAAACAATTGCACAAAATCAAACAAAATTTTTTACAAATAAGCCTTAAAATGCTAGCTGTCAAAATATATAATGATAATA